AGGGAGCACCAGGAGCTGCAGGAGGACACTCTGGAAGGCAGAGAACAGGCACTGAGAGAAGTCAGGGCCTGGTGGTATGATTTGAGCCTATGGACCAAGCTCCACAAACAACTACTTGATCTGTTTCTGGACTTTTCAATTACATAAATCAAAAACTCCCTTCATGTATAAGTCAGTTCACATCAAGTTGTCTTTTACTTGTAGCATTAAAATACCTGATACAAGTATTTTTGCAATAATAAATAAGTTAATTAACATAAAAATAACAAAAATGTTTCCCAAAGTCCATTTTTTTTACTAGCTTAGGAAAGCTTACGAGTTGATTTTAGCTCATCCTTTGTTTTCAGATAGTTCTAGTTTCTGGATAAAATACAAAAGTGCCATTTTGGAAGATGTTCATGTGTTAAGCTATTAATATCGTGAACAGGATTAATCCATCAAGACCACCTGATTTAGGAAATTTGTTTGCACACCCACTGTGGACAAACCTCTCTCAAGGGTCCTGGGAGAGTACTCCCTGGTGGTCTAGCTAGGATTCCATGCTTTCAAGGGTCCTGTGAGAGCCACAGATGAGAATTAGGTGAGCTCCCTGCCCCTGAGGTCCGAAGTTCAATGACAGAGACACTTGCCTCCCTAAACAGCACCCTGGAGGAGGGAAGCACCTTGCAGGAAAGAATGTTATCAGGTTTGTTCACTCTTGTAACTCCAGTGCCTAGAATAGTACACAACGTGTTGTTGATTATGTATTTTTAATTGAATGCGTGACTAAAAGATAAATAAATGAATAGAAGCATTATCTCTTTAGTTTGTCACAACACAGGCCTAAAAATGGAGGCAATGCCAGAGTAATAACTTGAACTTTCAGGGTCTCTTCCAGCTATTGCGAGAACTTCATCCCTTAAAAGTCTCCTGGTCTCCCAAGTATCTCTGGCCATCTCTGGGCACGTCCTGTGTCAGCAATGAAAGAAAGGCTTTTCCTATCAGTACTTTTCTTGGGTTATGCTATCCATGACATCCTCGTATCTCAGCCACTCACAAAGGTGTTTTGGGACAGCTCTGTCTACTCTCTCCTTTCCTAGATCCCAGGTCTTGCTTGAGCAGAAAGGGTTGGGCTGGTAGATGACCAATGTCATAAAAAGCTCAGATTCCTACCCTGTGGTTCAGTTGATTGGAGCATTGTCCCATACACCAAAATGTTGTGGGTTCAATTCCCAGTTGGGGCTTATGGGAGGCGACCGATGGATGTTTCTCTCTCACATTGTTGTTTCTCTCTCTCTCTCTCCCCCCCTCCCCCCACTTTGTCCCCCTTCCCTCTCTGTCCCCTCCTCCTCTCTCTCTAATCAATAAACAAGTCTTCAGGTAAGAATTTCTTTTAAATAAGCTCAGATTCCCACCGCCCCACCCCACCTCCCTTCTGGTAACTGAGGCTTTGTTGAAGGACAAGTCTGCAGCCTCCCTCGTCCCTTAGGGAGAGGGTTCTCCTGAGAGTTCCCCAGACCCCTGTGCTTCTGCACCACGGGTCCCCATCCCAGGCACTGGGAAGAATCAAAGGTGTGTGGACCCCAGGCGGGGTCATGGCTGAGGCTCTAGTTGTGGCCTCCCAGTCAGATGGACACATGAGCTTGGCAGTGCTGAGAGGTCATGAAGGACAGACGGCAGCAGGAGGGGGAGAGATGGCTCCAGGAGGGGAGAACCTGGGAGACCTCCTTGGAGGACATGGAATTTAATCTGCATGTAAAGGATGGAAAGAATGGACTTACTTCCCTCTTCCTTCCTTCCTCTCTCCCTCCCTTTTTTCCTTCTTTCCTTCCTTCCTTCTTCCCCTCCCTCCCTCCTTTCTTCTTCTCTTCCTCCCTCTATTTCTTCCTTTTTAATTTCCTTCTTTCTTTCCTAATTCCTTCTCTTTCCTTACTTCTGCCTTTGGTTAACATGATTGAGCTGCCCATAACAGAATATCTGATGAGAAAATGTACAAACAGGACAAAAAGTGTTCAGGAGTCATTAAGTCAGTAGCTCAGCCGGGTCAGGGCTCTGAGTTGCTTCTCTGTGCTTCTCTCGTTCCTCCCTTCTTCAGACAGAGTGGCTTCCAGCACTGCAACATTCCAGCTCTGCATAGGAACATCCGAAGGGACCCAGAGGCATTCCTCTCCTCTGTCTTTTTTGACCAGGAAGGAAGCATTTCCCAGAAGTGCACCCACCCCTGCTGGTTAGCTGGAACTTGAAGACACGCTCGCCCCAAAGTGATTACTGGCAAAGGGCGTGGCCTATTCTCGGGTCATCCCCGGGGCTGGGTAAAAAATTAGCTCTCCAAAACACCCAGAACCTGAACAAAATTTAGATTCTATTAGCAGAAAGGAAAAAGAAAAGGGTAGTCATTCGGAAAGGTAGCCACCATGCTCCCAGCACCATGCTGGGTCTTGAGAATCAACAATAAATAAGACAGACACATTCCCTTCCTGTGGAACGTGTACATTTAGAGACAGAGAGGAGGGCATACCCGATGGGGTGGACAGACAAATAAGTTTTGGTCAGAGCCCTGAGAGAAGGGACACCTGACAGATGCTGAGAGAACATCCCTGCCTCTGAAGCCAAATGTCACTCACTGTGGACTCTCGGAGCCTGTCTGTGTTGAGATGCGAAGCCCCGGCCTCCCTCTATGGGAGAGGGGAGGAGAGTCAGACCCTGATGACTCATCCCCACGAACACCGCAGAAATGCAGCCCCAAACCACAAACAGAATGAAAAGGAATTCTGCTCTTCACTTGCACCTCTCAAAGGACATAAAAAGGTTTTAATGTACAGCCTGCAACAACACTTCACTGATCCCCTTCTGTCTCAGCCCCCTGTTCTCTCAAGTCCCCTACTTCAGAGCCTCACACTTCTCACGACCAAAACAGCCCAGATGGTGTAGATCAGTGGATTGAGCACCAGTCTGCCAGTCCGTGAACCAAAGGATTGCCGGTTGGATTCTCAGTCAGGGCACATGCCTGGGTTGCAGGCCAGGTCCCCAGCTGGGGGTGTGCGAGAGGCAATTAATGTATCTCCCACACGTTGTGTTTCTCTCCCTCTCTTTCTCCCTCCCTTCTCCTCTGTCTAAAAAATTAAATAAATAAAATCTTTTTAAAAAGAAAGAAAAACAAAACTCTCCTCCATCCCCAGCTTGCCTCCTCTCTCTCTCTCTCTTTCTCTCTCTCTCTCTCTCTTTCTCCCCCACACACTCTCCCCCAATTTAAAAAAATTGTTGATAAAATACGAATAACACAATATTTATCATTTAAACCATTTCTAAGTGTACAGGGGCATAAATTACATTCACAATGTAGTACAGGCACTAACACTATGCACCTTCAGAGCTTTTTCCTCACCCCCAGGGACACAGGAACATCGCATCTGCCAGCCCTCCCCATGGTTTGGTGGGAACGTGAGACTGAGTTCTGGTCAATGAACTGACGGCAGAAATGGAAGACACCACTCCCAGGCCTGGCCCCCAAACCTCCCTCACTGTCTACCCTTCTTTCTCTCTGTGACCTGCCAGCCAGATGCTCCAGGGAGGACTCCAGGCCCTGGGGGAAGGCAGGGCCCAAAGAGGGATGCTCTTGGGGCCCTGAATGACTGTGTGGACCAGAGCCTCACCCACTGCTCTGCATTTCGATGTGGGTAAGAAATAAGTATGTACAGTGGAAAGCCAGGGGACTCCACCAGGGCTCTTTGTTATAGCAGTTACACTACCCTGATCCATACAGCACCCCAGGTAGCCACCCCCCAATCCCTGCTCTCTTGCTCCGCCAGGCCAGACTGTATCCTCCCCAGGTACCATTTGTTTAACACGAAACTACAAGCACATGTTAGTCCCATTTCCTCGAGCCTGTAAGCGACTGCAGGTTCCCCAATCTTTGCTCACACATTTACACACATCCTTGGTTGATTCTCATGATTGCAACTGTGTTTGTCATGCTGACAAGGGCTTGAGGCCAACCGAAACTTAAGGCCAACACAAATGAACCCCTGTGTGACCTTGAGGGTATCACTTGACCACCCTGTGTCCAACCATTTTCATCGTGGCAACAATCCTTGCCCTGGCTGCACCGTGAGTGTTAGAGCATTTCCCAGAGTCTCAAGGGCTCCCTGGCCACAGATAAACGGGTCACCCAGTGGTGGCAATGAGCTAAAGCTGTCCCCTCTCCGCTGGCAACAGCGTCTGCCCCATGTCAGATGATGTGCTTTCCCTCAGGTGTGCCCTGCCCCGTGGGCCTGACCTGAGAGCCTCTGCAGCTGCAGAGGATGATTTCTTTCTCCTGAACCACCAGCTGCGCCCCAGCCCCTACCCGGAGGACATGGCAGCATCCCCTGGATAGGGCTGCCCAATAGCCACTCCGGGAATCCCAGCCCCTACCTCCTTGCATCCAGTTTCTCTGCCTTTTAGCTTCCTCTTTGTTGCATGTCAACACTCTCCTGACGAAGACCAACCATGTGTCCATAGAAACAGAGGAGTTTTCTAGGGGAAAGGTAAGGATGGAGTGGGGTGAGTGGCCTAAGAGGGTCTCCGGTTTGGCGCTTGCCCTGAGTCAAGAGCCAGGCAGGAAGCTCTTAAGAGCATTGCTCAAGAACAAAGGCAGCCCAAGAGGCTTGGGGTAGAGATGGGGGGGCTCACTCTGGCTGCCCTGGCCTTGCCTCCATTTCTTTCCCACAGCTCAAACAGATGGGACCAGATGTGGAGGCTCAAGAGCCTCCTGGGTGGAGTGAGCCAGGTGTCCCAGCCCATGGGAGTTAGGGCAGGGGGCAAGGGGAGTGGGAACAGGCTTCAGGTCGGGAGGCAGGGACCTGGTCGGGGGCAAGCAGGAGTGTCTCTGCTGGGAAAGGGGCAATCCAAGCACCTGAAGGGCTCTCCAGGACAAAGACAAACACTGAGTCACCAGTGCTCCCACAACCCTGCCCCCACATCCTCGCCCACAGCTATAAGGGCCCTCACCTCAAGCAGGATGTCCAGGCTGTGGAGGTGTCATGGCCAAGTCACACCTGCTGCTGTGGCTGCTGCTGCTGCCCACACTCTGTGGCACAGGGGCTGGTGAGTTTCCCCAGCCTCTCCTCACCTCTCTCCCACCTGGGGCCAGGTGTCAAGGGGCATCAAGGCCATTTCCCCCACTTACTGAGCTCTGGCTCTGTGCCAGGCCTGTCCCTAGTCTGTATGTCATCCTCATCTCAAAGATGAGGAAGATGAGCTCAGAGAGGCCCAGGGCTTGTCCTCTGGCACACAGCTGGTGGGCACTAGAGCAGCTGTCTGATTCCAGCATGTTTAATGGCCAGGCATTACCGATGCAAGTGAGTTTGGAGCCCTGGCTGGTGTGGCTCAGTAGATTGAGTGAGTCTGGGAACCAAAGGGTGACCGGTTCAATTCCCAGTCTAGGGCACATGCCTGGGTTGCTGGCCAGGTCCCTGATGGGGGGTGCACAATCGACAACCACACACTGATGTTTCTCTCTCTCTCTTTCTCCTTCCCTTCCTCTCTCTAAAAAATGAATAAATAAAATCCCTTGAAAAAATTTTTTAAAAAAGAAAGTGGGTTTGGGGGGTGGGTGAGGTCAGGGTACCAGGTATGGCTTGTATCCCAAGGTTCCTCTGGCCCCAAACAGAAGCTGTAGGGACCACCTCATCCCAGGCCTGTGCCCAGGGCCCTGAATTTTGGTGCCAAAGCCTGGAGCAAGCGTTGCAGTGCAGAGCACTGGGGCACTGCCTGCAGGAGGTCTGGGGACATGCGGGAGCCGTGAGTATCACACACTGGGACAAAGGTCTGGGAGAGAGCGTGCTGCATGGGCTCTGGATGGATGTGGGGGATTGGGGAGCCCTTAGGGGATGGGAGGGGGTGGGAGAGAGTGTGATGATTCTGTCCCTGTGCTTTGGAGTGCCCTGTTGTTCTCTGCCTGAAAGAGCCTCCACTCACGTCCCCCATTTGGGGGTGCCCCTCCCCAGGATGACCTGTGCCAGGAATGCAACGACATCATCAACACCCTCACCAAGATGACCAAGGAGGCCATTTTCCAGGTGATGGGGCCCAGACCCTGGGTGAAGCTTGGGGGCCAAGAGATGGGGGACAGAGCAGGAAAAAGAGGTTAGCTCCTTAAAGGGGCCATTTCCTGACCAGGGGTGAGCCCTGAGGTTGCCTGGGGACTTCAGGCATCTGCTGGCCAGGAGAGAGCTCTGGGAGTAAGCTCAGCAGCCCGGCCAGAGACAGTTGTCCCTGAGGTTAAAGGGGCCTTACCTGTGCCAACTACTTACTCCTTCGCACTTTTTGAACCCCAGTGCCCTGGGAAAGGGGTGACCAATCTGCCAGGTGGTGACCCTGTGTGCAGGGACTTGGGCAGAGGCTGACCTCTGGGAGACCAGGCTGACTGTCCTCTCTCCACCCTTGCTGGCTCCCACCTGCTTCCCAGGACACAATTCGGAAGTTTCTGGAGAACGAGTGTGACATCCTCCCCTTGAAGCTGTTGGTGCCCCGATGCCACCATGTGCTTGAAGCCTACTTCCCGCTGGTCATCGACTACTTGCAAAGCCAGATCGTGAGGGCCTGCCGACCTGCCTGCCCACACAGGCCCAGAGATCCCCCCCACTCTACACCCCAGCCCTCCACACACATGCACACGCATGCCCCCCACACACACACCCCTGCCCACAACCAGTCCAGGAGATGCCATGCCTCTCGTCCAGGCGCCCAGTTTACAGTCTTATTGCTCCACTGTACCAGGGCGGCCCGCACACTTACAAACACCACACACTCCTTTACACCCTTCACACAAACATATGCCCAGTCACACACTCATGCACACACTCAGTCTCACACAAAACCCACCCATTATATACTCACACATACAAACTCTCACACACACACATACATACACTCATTTGTTCTGACAAACATACATGTTCACGCTTGCTCACACACTTCCCAGGCCCCTGTCCTGAAGTTCCGCATAGCCCCATCTCTGCCTCATTGTCTCTCCACCCCCGCCACAGAGTTCTAACCCCAGCCCCACCCAGCCTGCCCCGGCCATCCCAGGCCAAAGACAGTAGCCCTAGTCCCTGAGTCCCTGAGCCAGCCTGAGCAGGAATGGGGGGCCCTCCACCACCCTAATCACCCCCTCACCCTGCATTGTTCCCCAGAACCCAAGGGCCATCTGTGAGCACCTGGGCTTGTGTAAATCTGGGCGTTCAGAGCCCAGGCTGGAGCTGGAGCTGTCGGACCCTCTGCTGAACAGGCTGGTCCTTCCAGTGCTGCCCAGGGCCCTCTGGGAGCAGCCAGGGCCTCAGACACAGGTGAGGGAGGCCCCACCCTGGTGGGGACCCAGAGAGCTAGGGCACAGCCGAGGCCCAAGAGCACTTAGGCCCTGGGTGGGGGCAGAACTGGAAGGGAAACAAGCAGCTCTAGCAGGGCCTGAGGCAGGAGGGACAGAAGAGGAGCCCGGAGGATGCCTTCTCCTGGTGCCCACCCAACTTCGACCTGCCCTTCTCTCCTCTAGGATCTCTCTGCGCAGCAGTTCCCCATCCCCCTCCCCTACTGCTGGCTCTGCAGGACTTTGCTCAATCGGGTCCAAGCTGTGATTCCCAAGGTGAGGCCCCCCACAGCTCCACCCACCCCCCTACCCCTCCTCACACCTCCCACAGGGGCAGCTGGCTGCCAGAAGTTAGGAGGAGAGCCATTCGTGTGCTGCCCCTACCCCAGCGACTCTGGAGCTCAGGCTTGGGCCCAGCAGGTGCCAGGCCTAGAGTTCATCCAACTAATGTTAGTCCCCTGCTATAAGCCAGGCAGGGACCATGTAGGTGTCAAAGCATGAAAAAGGACGAGACCCCGTCTTGCCCACCAGCAGCTCAGCAACTGACGGAGAGTCTCCAGAGGTCTCTGTAGAACACACCCTTTAATTTTTCAAAAGAACTTCCACAGATGGACCCCTCTCCCTACCTGAGCCCAACTTGGAATCTTCCAGACCTGTAGTGACCATCACCCAGTGCTGTCCTGCCCTAAAATGGGGCCCAAGGGAGGAGGCGCTCCGCCCCATCAGCCCTTCCCAGATCCACGGGCCGGCTGGTCACTAAGGGCTCACGGCAGCAGACGAGGTACCTGCTCTTCCAGGTTTGCATTGTGGTGATTTTTTCAGAAAGTGATAAGTTCAGAGCAGAGAATTAAAACAGATGAGGAGAGCAGTTCTCTACTCTTTGGGCAAGCCCCTGAGCGGACCCCAAGCTACATCCCTGGCTGCAACTCTCCACAAAGCCCCACCCTAATCCCAACTCATTTCTACTGCAAGGTTCCGTACAGGGTGAGCAACCGTGGACAGGCAGGGGGTGGGGCCACCTTGCACATTTAGGATGCAGGCTGGTAAGACAGGAGGTGGCAAAGGTCAGACTCTGAGCCGGAGGCTCTGGGATCCAGGCTCTGGGCTGAGGCGGCCCCTGCTGGGGCCATTAGCCTAACCTATGCTGGCAGCTGTGGTAGGTCTTTCTGGAAGGGGCTAGGTCCACTGCTATCCTCCTTCGGTCCCCTGTAGCTAGGAGCTGTAACAACTGGTCCATCCTAGGAAAAGAGCCTATGAAAAACAACCACCTCATCACCTCCAAATTGGGCTTGTGTTCCCCGCCCCCCTCACACAAGAACATGTTTTCATTGATTTTAGAGAGAAAGGAAGAGGGAGAGAGAGAGAGAGAGAGAGAGAGAGAGAGAGAGAGAGAGAGAGAGAGAGAGAGAAACATCAATGTGAGAGAGAAACATTGACTGGTTGCCTCCCATTCCTGCCCCAATTGGGAATCAAACCTGTAACCTTTTGGTACATGGGATGATGCTCCAAACAAGTGAGCCACCCAGCCAGGACCAAACTTGGCTTTCCTTATTGCTATTTACTCTGAGTGTCAGGCCACCCCCTTAGAGACCCATCATCAGGGCCTCTCACAGCTGCAGGACTCTAGGACCTAGGAGAGCCTTTTGAAAAATCCAGGTCTCCTGCATTGTTCTGGCTGTGGGTGGATGGCTGGGTGGATGGGTGTGGCCAGAGAGAGGGTCACCAGGGCCAAGGGTAGGCAGGGCAGCTCAGATTGCCCAGTCCCCCCCAAAATGTCTAAGAAGTGAGGTGATAGTCAAGAGTTGGGGTTAGGTGGTTGGTCAGGGAGAGTCTCTGAGGAGGTGACCATTAAACTGAGACCCAAAGGTCAACAAGGCCCCTATGGACAAAGGGTGTCAATCAAGAATGAGTTTGGCAAGCTTGAGGAAAGCCAGTGTGGCCCCAGCAGGCAGGCCAGGGGGAGAGTGATCGGAGCAGTGAGCAGAGGGTTAGGTACAGCCGGGCCACGTAGCAAGGTCTAAGCCGAGTTAAGAAACTCTAGGTTTTATTCTGAATGCGATTTATAGCTAGTGAAGGGTTTCAAGCAGGGAACACTGTGATCTGATTTACACTTCAGAAAGACCACTCTCCTGTGTTTGAAGAATGTATTGGGCAGATGAGAGGCAAGAATGAAAGCAAGGAGAATATCTAGATTACTGCAGGAATGGAAATGGGAGAAGACAGTACTAGGAGGGTAGGCTGAGGGTACGTTTGGGAGGTCAGCTCAACAGGACTTGGTAATGAATGGAACTTGTGGAGTGAGGACAAATGAGGAATTGATGGTGACTTGGGCTTGAGGAACCAGGTCTTTGATAATGCCACCCGCTGAGATGGACAAACTTGAGAAGAAATAGACATGGGCAAAAAAAAAAAAAGGAGTTCTCCCTACCATTGTCAAGTTTGAGATACCTGTGTAACATACAAGAGGGCATGTCAAGCAAGCAGCTGAATACCCAAGCCTTAGGCAAAAGGTCAGGTCAGAGCATCACTCTGAGAACTGCTGGTGAAGGATGAGGTTTAAGTCCAAGGGAATGAGTGGGATCATAGGGGACATGGTGTGGACCGAGTGGAGGAGGCGGCTCAGTCAAGCAAAGGCAACATGACCAGAGGACCAGCAACAGAGATTGTGACTTTGAGAGCTGTTTTGGAGGAGTGATGGGGACAAAAGCCCAAGAGGAGTGGGCTCCAGGGAGACTGGAGGGAAAGAAAAGGAGCAGCCAGTATGAACCACTCTTTCAAGAAGTTCTTTTGGGAAGGGGAGCAGAGATGGGTGAGTCTTTTTAAGCCCAGAAGCTGTGTTAGCATGTTCACACATCAGTGAGACCAACCAGTGGGCTGATGGGAAAAGCAATGAGGAAGGAGAGCGAGGATAATCCAGGGCAAAGCCCTTGTGAAGGAGGGGGAAGGGCAGCCCAGGGCACAAGTGGATGAGCTGGCCTTTGACAGCAGGGGATTGTCTGGAGGCCAAGTGTGGGCTCCCATGCAAGCAGGTGGGTATATATTGTGAAAGGTGTCACACCCATACACGGCCCTGTGCCTACTCCTAGCAGGAGCTGCGAGCAGGAGCAGGGCCGAGGCCAGCTTGTTGCATGCAGGTCCTTCACACGTATTGTTTGAGTGAACGAAGGAGTAAAGGCACAAGCTGGAGTTTTGTGGCCTCCCACCCCACCCTCCAGCTCAGACCTCGTGTTTGAAACTGAAATGGGTGGGGGAACTCCTGGCTTCCCCTGGAGCTCCCGGAACACGGGATGTGCTGGCTCCGGGAGCCACCAACTAATCCATCCTGTGGGTCAGGAGGGACAAGACACAGATGTGGTCCACCTCCCCTCCAGGAAGTGTGTGACCATGGTGATGCCCACGTCTCTGGACTAGCTGTGACCCTTTCAGTTATTTCAGCCTTTAGTTAGAGCTGGGTCCACAGCCTGGCTCCAGTGTTCACTTATTGACTCAGGGCAAGTCCCCTGGACTCGGTGATGCTCAGTGTCCTTATCAGTAAACAGCATAATAATTCTCAGAAGGGAACAAGGGAATGTCTACAAAGTGCCCAGCTGGCGCTGGCACAGAGTAGATCTTGCAAGGGAAGGTTCCACCCTACCCTCTCTTGGCCCCACCCCAGAGTGTACTGGCCCCAGTTGTGGCCCAGGTGTGCCACGTGGTGCCCCTGGTGGCAGGCGGCATCTGCCAGTGCCTGGCCGAGCGCTACACTGTCATCCTATTGGACGTGCTGCTGGGCCGCATGCTGCCCCAGCTGGTCTGCGGCCTCGTCCTCCGGTGCTCTTTGGAGAATGGTGCTGGCCCAGGTGAGCCTGCTGCCCCAGCCCTGCCACTGCCCACTCTCAGCCCCCTCCCCCAGCCCTGCATGACCCCCACCCCCCTGGTTCCCCTGCACCACAGAGGACAGGAACTAAACACCTCTGCAGGGTGACCTTGACTGTTTCCTGTCTAGGCCTCACCTCTCTGCAGTCCCTGTGGGGAGAATGGATACCGGACGACTCCAAGTGCCAGCTCTGCGTGTCCGTGACCACCCAGGCAGGGAACAGCAGTGAGGAGGCCATGCCACAGGCGATGCACCAGGCTTGCCTCAGCTTCCAGCAGGACAGGCAAAAGGTACAGGACAGGCAACAGGAACTCAGGACCCAGCGCCTGCCCACAGCACAGGGTTGAGCCAGGAAAGGCTTCCCAGTCAGAGATGTACAGAGTGGGCCAGACCCCTGACATCGAGGAGCTCAGACAGGATGTGGGCCAAATAATGAGGGGACTGTAATAGGGCAAAGCCTGCTATGGTCAGGAGTGGCCTCTGGTCGAAGGGCGTGGGCTCGAAGGACCAGCAGTCCTCCCTAGTGGACGAGGCGTGGGGCCGTTATCTATCAGATGAGTCACACCGGGGCCAGCTGGAGCAGGAGAGGGCCTAGGCTTCTCTCCAAGGTCCAGTCCTGCCACAGCCCCATCCCTCCTCCCAGTGTGACTCACTGGGGACAAACCCATTTGCAAAAGGAAAGGCCCTAGAGTCCCAGTACTGAGGGTGGATGACAGCTCCATAAAGTAAGACAGATCCCAGGAGGCAACTCCCTGCTGGTGTTCCCCTGTCCATGCCCCCCATTGCCCACATCATGGCTCAAGGACAAGATAAGCTTTAAGATTTCTTCTACAACTGAAATTCAGGGGCAGGGGATGGTGATGCCCAGGTCTCCCAACAGAAACCTACATTTCAGCCCATGCCAACTGCTTCGGGGGGCTGATGTCTGGACCTACGCCGGGTCCCAGGGAGCCCTGGAGCCAGCCAGGTCCACGGAGAGGCCAGGGCAGCAAGGAGGGGCGTCCTGCAGTAGGCCTGGGTGCGCCACACAGTGACTTTATCCTTCCTCAGTGTGAGCAGTTTGTGGAGCAACACTCCGTGCAGCTGCAGAGCCTGACGGCCAGGGGCCAGGATGCCCGCACCACCTGCCAGGTGTGCCCTCCCCTCCCAGGTGGTCCCATGACTTTCCTCAGCTCCCATAGCCCCCCACCTTCTCTGGTCCGTGATCCACAGAGATCCTACTCCCTTGGCCCAGGACGCCGCCTCCCCTCACTGTTTTAATATAGAAAAGGCAGGCTCAGAGGGCTCAGGAAAAAGCCACAAAAGAATGAGAAAGGAGGAGTCTGAGGGAGAAGGCAGCTGAAAGGAGTGTGCTCTGACATGCGCTATGGGGTGGGGTTGTTGACGAAGTCATGTATGCTTGGTGGGCTCACAAAGTGGGTGTCTTGGGATGAGCACCCCACTTCCTCCGGCTCTAAACCCCGAAGTCCCCATGGCCTGGGAGTGGCCTGAGAGGCCTAGGAGTTCACACCAAGAGCACCTGCCAGCTGAAGTGAAAGCAGCCCCTTCAGAAGGAGCCTCCCATGCCCCTCAGAGCTAGAAATAGGGAGTGGGGGGGAGGCGGTGCTAAGGCCCTAACCCTGTCCCTGTGGCAGGCACTGGGGGCATGCGCAACCACATTCAGTCCTCTCCAGTGCGTCCAGGAGCCCCACTTCTGATGGGAACTCAGAGCCGTGCCAGGTGAGTCCAGCCCCCCGCTGGGGGAAGGGGTGGGGCCTGCACCCATCAGGAGGGTGACCCTCTGCTCCCCAAGCATGAAAAGGCAGCTGCTGCTGCCAGCTGCTCCCTCCTCCTCACAGGCCACAGCTCACCCACCCTCTGCACTCCCTGAACTTCAGTGTTTGATGCATTCAGGCCAAGGCCAACCTTTCCTGAAACTCAAGGGAAACCAGACTTTGCTGCCCAAAATCTTGACAGGAACTCCACCATCAACTGACCCTCCCTCCGAGACACTCTCCTTCCTCTGTCTCACCTCAGAGTCATCACCTTAGGACAGAGGGGCGGGTCACATGGAGCCTCTGTGACCAGGGTCCTTGGGGCAGGGAAGTGGCCCTCAGAGGGACAGCCACAACAACAGTGGACTTGAAGCCCCCTGAGAGCAAACTTGGTCCACTTTACAATTCAGCTTAGAGCCAGCCCCTAACACAGTGGTCATTTATTCATTTCTAAACTCACTTTTTCAAAACATAGTGAGTGTCCTGGAGCCAGGCCACATTCCAGGGGCAAGGGCTAGAACTGAGTACCATGGGGAGCCCCTGCCCTCCCGGAGCTCACACCCCAGGGTCTACCCCTTCCATCTGAGCCGGAAGCCCAGCCCTGCTCCCAGAACCTACGATCACAAGCCCCTGTGGGAGGCAGCAGGGAGAATACAGGGAGAAAATGTCTGCCCCAACTCAGACCTGTCCCACAGGGACCAGTTTATGACAGCTAGCAGGACCTAGGGGTCAGGGAGCTGCCCAGGAGACAGGGGCAGCCGCCTTTTCCCAGCTCCCAGGTCTCCCCAAACCAGGAAGAACCAGGCCAACCATCCCTGTTGAAACAGGAAGGGCAGTGGGTTGGGACAGCAGGCCCGGGCTCTGGTCCCAACTCTGCCATCAACTGGCCACAGGTCCGCAGCAAAGATACGATGCTGAAGGGGAAGCCAAGTAAGGACCGGTGAGGCCATCTCCAGGACTCCAGAGCAAGGCTTCTCCTCACTCCCTGCCCCCACTGAGAAGCAGCCTTCACTCCCATACTCACATCCTTTCCTCAAAAGTGCCATAAGGCCCTGACTGGTGTGGCTCAGTGGGTTGAGCACAGTCCAACAAACCCAAAGACTGGGAATCACTGGTTCGATTCCCAGTTGGGGCATATGCCTGGGTTGCAGGCCAGGCCCCTGGTTGGGGGCATTGGAGCGGCAACCAATTAATATTTCTCTCCCTCTTTTTCTCCCTCCCTTTCCCTCTCTCCAAAAATAAATAAATAAAACCTTAAAAAAAATCTGTACCTTAAGCTGATGGATCACGAGCCTGCAACTTGTGCCCTCAGTCCTGCGTCAGTCTTGCCCATCCTATCCATCCTATCTGTAACTGTAGCTCAAAACCGGAGCCACTTGCTTCCTCTCTGGGGGTGAGGCATGGCCACGGAGCATCTTCTGGAGGATGTCTGTGAGGAGCTCCAGCCCAGCCCAGCCTCCCCTCCCCACGGGAGCCAGCCAATCCCCACGGCCCCACAGCATCCTCCCCCAGCTCCAAGAGGAGAGAGGGATAGGAGCTGGGCCCCGCCTCACTCCATCTCCCCCTATGCAAGACACTAGCTTTTATAAATACTGTGCTAGCACTTTCACAAAATTCAAAATTTAGAAGAATAAAAAATGAGACCATAAAGTGCCATAAAAGACACATGAAATCTTTAACCTTTTTTTTTTTTTTAATCAGAACATCTCTGGCATAATCAAGGACTGGTGGGAAGGTGACGGGGCAAACTTTCATATTTTAAATGTTTTGTTGCTTAAGATGTAAAAAGGGGTTTTTGTTTTATCTTTTTGTAAGGTGAGAATCCAACTTTTATCTCAAATGCCAGGTTGTTTAGATTTGTGCTGATTTATTTCCTCAAAGCTCAGATGGTGTTATGCGTGCTAAGGATCAGGCCCTGTGTCATGCAGCGCCTACAACAATGCTAATAAAGTCCTATTTCCTTGTATTGAAAAGAAAAAGACACTATCCTTTAAATTGCTGCCATTAAGTTGCTTCATGGTTAACTACCATGAAGGTAGTTAATTGGGGGCCTACCTCACTCCCCTCCTGGATGAACAAGTAGATGCCTGTGTGACCTCTCCCTCTTATAACTGCTTCTAGCCTGACCCCCCCCCCCTTCCAACTCCCCATCCCAGAGCCCACTCACAGTGATGAGGTGAGGTGGTTAGGGTTCCAAAAACTCAAAACACAGAAAAAGGAATATGTAAACCTTTAGCATTAAAGACCTAAATGCCTGGAAATGTCCTTTAATTTACAAAGGAACTTATATTTTTTACTGTTTGTTGTAGAAAACTCAGAAACTGCAGACCAAACAAGAATGGGGCTCACCCACAACCCCACCAGTCCGAGGACAGCACTAGAGCAGGATGTATTCTTTTCAATCCATTTTCCATGCCCATCCACCACTCAAGCACCAAGTGGGAGCTTTCTAGACAACCTTCTTTCTTTTCTTAAAAAGATTTTACTTATTTATTTTTTGAGAGAGGGGAAGGGAGGAAGAGAGAGGGAAACATCAATGTGTGGTTACCTCTTCAGCACCTCCTACTAGGGACCTGACTCACAACCCAGGCATGCACCCTGACTGGGAATCGAACCTGCAACCCTTCGGTTTGCGGGCTGGCACCCAATCCACTGAGCCATACCAGCCAGGGCCCTGCTCTTGAGGAAAGGATGATACACACAAATTCTCAGCCACTGAATTTAAACTTTTAAGTAGAGTTCTATAAATCTATAGCAGGCTATTATCTTTAAAGTCATTATTTCAATTGCAAGATCAAAGTCCCATAAAGAAGAGTGTTTAGACTTCCAGCCAAGATGGAGGCATAGGTAGATATACTGTGCCTCCTCGCACAACCAAAATAAGGACAACAACAAATTAGAAACAAAAAACCAGTACTGACAGAAAATTGAACTCTATGGAAGTCAAACAACCAAGGAGTTAAAGTAGATACATTCATCCAGACCGGTAGGAGGGGCAGAGTCAGGGGGCTGGTGGACCCAGTGAGACGGCGGGTTGTGGAGGGGTGCAGCGCACAAGGGGCTGGCAGATCTGGTAGTCTCACATTCACATGCAGATAAACCAGGCAAAACTGGGGAGTGAAACAGACTGCGTAATCCAGGGTCCCAGTGAGGGGAAGTAAAACCTCAAAACACAGATTGAAAACACCTGTGGGGGTTGAGGTGCCGGGAGAAACTCCCAACCTCACAGGAGAGTTTATTGGAGAGAATGTACACAAACCCACCCACACGTGAATCAGCACCAGAAGGGCCCAGTTTGCTTGGGGGAAGTGGCAGAAGTGACTGAAATCCGGCAGAGAGCAGAGCAAGCGCCATTGTTCCCTCTTGGACCCTGCCCCCACATACTGTGTCAAAACCCAGCCACATGGATTGCCCAGCCCTGGTGAACACCTAAGGCTCCTCCCCTCACTATGTAACAGGCGCGTCAAGACAAAAAAAATCGCCCAAATGAAAGAACAGATCACAGCTCCAGAAAAAAACACAACTAAGCAACAAAGAGATAGGCAACTTATCAGATGCACAGTTCAAAACACTAGTAATCAGGATGCTCACAGAATTGGTTGAATTTGGTCACAAATTAGATGAAAAACTGAAAGCTACACTAAGGGAAATAAAGGACAATGTACAGGGAACCAATAGTGATGGAAAAGAAACTAGGACTCAAATCAATGGAGTGGACCAGAAGGAAGAAAGAAACATCCAGTCAGAAAAGAAGAAAGAAACAAGAATTCAAAAAAAAAAAAAAATGAGAGGCTTAGGAACCTTCAGGACATCTTTAAACGTTCCAACATTCAAATTGTAGGAGTACCAGAAGGAGAAGAGGAAGAGCAACAAATGGAAAACTTATTTGAACAAATAATAAAGGAGAACTTCTCCCATCTGGCAAAGGAAATAGCCTTCCAGGAAGTCCAGGAAGCTCAGAGACTCACAAAGAAGTTGGACCCAAGAAGGAACACACCAAGGCACATCATAATTACATCAGCCAAGATTAAAGATAAGGAGAGAATCTTAAAAGTGGCAAGAGATAAGGAGACAGTAACCTACAAAGGAGTTCCCATCAGACTGTGAGCTGATTTCTCAAAAGAGACCTTGCAGGCAAGAAGGAGCTGGAAAGAAGTATTCCAAGTCATGAAAGGCAAGGACCTGCATCCAAGATTACTCTATCCAGCAAAGCTTTCACTTAGAATGGAAGGGCAGATAAAGTGCTTCTCAGATAATGTCAAGTTTAAGGAGTTCATCATCACCAAGCCCTTATTTTATGAAATGTTAAAGGGACTTATCTAAGAAAAGAAGATTAAAAAAAAACATGTATAGTAAAAGGACAGCAAACTCACAATTATTAACAACCACACCTAAAGCAAAAACAAAAGCAAACTAAGCAAACAACTAGAACAGGAACAGAACCAGAGACAGAAACAGAAATGGAGATCACATGGAGGGTTAGCAGCAGAGGAGTGGGAGGAGGAGAGAGGGAGAAAAGGTACAGAGAATAAGTAGCATAGATGGTAGGTAGAAAATAGACAGGAGGAGGGCAAGAATAGTATGGGAAATGTAGAAGCTGAGGAACTTATGACACATGGACATGAACTAAAGGGGAGAAATGTGGGTGGGAGGGGGTGTGCAGGGTGGAGGGTAGTGAAGGGGGAAAATGGGACAACTGTAATAGCATAATCGATAAAATATATTTTTTTTAATTTTAAAAAAAGAAGACGAGTTATTACATTTTTTAAAAAGGTTGGTTGGGAAGCTAAAGAGCCAAAACGTAAAGGAGGGGAGGCATTAATAGATTATCAGACAGGCAAGCATTGGAGTTCCTGACAATGGAAGAGGAGGCTTCACGCCAATGGAGGTCAGGTAATTAGTTCATGGGAGAATTGGCAGAAAGTGGCCATAGCTGAGTCAGAGAGTCCGACAGGTGCCCAGCATCCTGCATCTGAAAGGAGAGCAGGGAGAAAGCTCCAGGAGGAATTAGGACCCAACAACAGAGAGGACTTGTTCTTCACTTTCCAGGGTGTGATGTGAGAACACAAGTTCCTTAGGGAAACTTGACTCCAATACATTAATGAGAATGAAGAGAACAGCCTTAAAGAGAGGCATAGACAGACCTGAGGACTGGCTCAAAGGGTGCCCCGATGAGGGAGCATTCACACAACTGGCCTAAGAGACGGTCAGAATTGAAAAATGGTGGGCCCGCAAGAACCCATAACTGTGGACAAAGCGCTCACAGATTTCATGGACCTTGAGAGAAGTCTGACATGTGCCGCCAATGCGCGCACAGGAAGATGGAGACCAGGCAAGGTGCATGATGCTTCGGTGAAGCCCTACAGATCACTGAGAGCACATTGCCAACCTCGCTGCTCGTGATCTGGCAGTCTGTGAATCACTCCCAGGGAACAGAAGGAGGATTCAGTGGGTAGTTATCCAGGAGGGACTGAGTATTATTAAACAATGACAGACTGAGTTATTTTCAAATGGAAATAGGACATGTGGGGGCTTAAGAGCCAAAACTATCTAGTTCAATTATAGAGAAATAAAAACAGTGACATGTATGTTCCCTCGTTAATGACTGAGGTTTAAAATCCACAACACATTGTAACATCACGTATCATTCCGAGCTTTCCTCTGCATGCGCACAAAAACAGGTATGACAGGTTTTTAAATGGGAGCATCCTATACACGCTGCTTTGTAAACTCCTTTATTCATTCAAAAATAACCTTTCCAGATCAATAAATATAAATATCATCACTGTTAATTGGCTCATATTTTTTTCTTTATATACAAACTTTCATTCTTAAATATCAACTATCAATATCTGATCAGTTCCAAGATGTGAAGTTTGGGGGCAAAAACCTACACGTCTTGACTGTTCACGCAGGCAGGCGGTGTCACCAAGCTGCCCTCCGTGTGCAGCACTCCAACTCCCACCCCAGTTGGAAGCGGGGACCGTGTCCACTCCCACCCACGTGGGTATTAGCAGTCTTGCAAATCTTTGCTAATCTAAAATACTAAAGTGACTTCATTGGTTGTTCCACTTTTCACTTCTTTTGTTACTAACCTTTTACATGTTTATTGGCCATTTATATTTCACCTTTTGTGAAACGCTCATGTGAGTGTTTTGACCGATTTTCCCTTGGAGTGCTCTGTCCACTGTTCTACCAGGAAAAATATACCAGGTGTACTC